TCACATCCAGTAACGATTCATCGTGCACGTTGATTGGTGAGGGGAACCAGGGATAGGTCAAGAGGAGGCAGGGCCGGGTGGTGAGAGGGGGTGCGGGGATCCGATAAAGAGGGGGGACGGGAGAGGGCGGGTCGAGGGGCACGGCCGTGAGAGAGAGGGGGGGGGGGGAGTGACCGTCCAAAGAAACGTCGTAACTCACGATGATTTTCCTTCCACCTATCCTAGGGCGGTAGTTTGACTAACTAGGGTGGTGCGATGGTGGTTGTTTGGCTGGCTGGAAGAGATAGGGGCCGGGAGGGGGGCAATTGCACCGTGACGAGAGTGGGCAGCCTTCGGGGCGTGTGTCGAGCTAGGATGGGAAGGTATATACCTGGTGTATTGTACGAAACACGTTGAAAAACAAGGAAACAAGAGGGGCGTCCAAGCAAGGGTAGCACTAGCGCCGAAGAGAGAGAGGGGAGACCATGGCCGTCGTCGAACAACACCGCGTCAACCATAGTCGGCGGTTCTGTTCTCTCGGCATGGCGCTGCTAAAAGGCTGACACACGCACGCTCTTGCACTCCCCGCACGTTCTTCCTTCAACACGGACGGTGTCTTGAAAGCGTGGATTCCTTGGTCCTGCCTATCGTCTTGTGGCGATTGACCCCACCAACAGAGCGCTGGCTCTTGTGCGACAATCCTTCGTTTATGCTGTCGATGAACCCGCCTTCAAACAGGTAGCTGCGATCGGTCTTGTACAAGAATTCTTCGCTTGGCGTCTGGCAAGGCTCGCGCCCTTCTGTAAAAAAACATACTAGGTTGCGCCTATTGCCCCTCTCCCTTGTACCTCTTGACAACGTATCTGAGAAAACAACAGCGAGGGGGGATTCCCGTCGGGAGTGCGGAGGTGGAGGGGAAACTTACCCTCCGTTTGCTCTTCTCCGCCTGGTACGCCGAGTCCAGCTGTTTCCAGTTCTCCTCCAACGCCCGCAGGTTGGACTGGACGGCGTTCTTCTTCTGGATGACCGCCGTAGGGTCCTTGCTAGCCGGCTCCTTCGCCAGCAACTGTGTACACGCGGCGAGGGGGTATACGCGGCGTGCGGAGGCGACGACCACGAATCAGAACCCACCACCTCAACCAATCAACATACCAAACGACGGAGCAAATTGCATCCAGATATGTATGAAAATAGTGCGTGCTAACCATAATACAATTGTACACCCTTAACCAAGTAAGGGGCTGCTGTTCTTCAGGTGGGGGAGGGAGCAAAAGATGCGACGAATAGATTGATTCCAAGGGAACGACTGCTTATCGCGAGGGTGAAGAGATCGAAAAGGGCAACAGTCGAACCGCTGTGATCGACATGAAAATAATTTGGCATAGGATAAATCTAGCCAGGCCGGGCAAGAGCACTCGGCTCTTCTCTTGTTCTCGTGTCCGCCTCTGCAAGTGTCGCATGTAGCGATCCCCTAGCTTCTCCACAATATGCCAAAATCCTACAACAACACCCTCAGTTAGGTACAGTGGCATGTGTTGCGATTTTTTGCGACGACACCGGGGGGCGCACCATTCTCGGCCATGCTCGAGCGTCTGGCTCTTGGTGGCGACACTCCATGCTTGGTCGTTTCGTGCTCTGCCGGAGCAGACAGAAAAAATCCCGCACCGTGGCGCACTACACACACACGCCGTTCGCAAAGCGTACAAACAGCGCACAATAACGAGCAGATACACGAGCAAGGCAGGACATCCCTGCTGCTGCTGCTGCTGTATGCTAACAACCTTATGCTGTAGACTCACATCGCAGGTATCACCTAGCCTCTTGATTATGGCCGACTTCACGGCATTGAAGCGGTCATCCTCCTTTGACTTCCTCTTCTTCCTTCGTAGCGCGCGCTCCTCGTCTGACCCTCCCACTGCAGCCTGAGGGTGAATGGGGGGGGGGGGCAAAATAAACAACAAACAGCCCGCACAAACCACACCACGGCAGCGAAAAGTTAGAGCAAATGACAAAAAAAAGCGTTGAGAAACAGATGAGAGGCTACGCCACAACCAGCATCCATCACTAAGAGTGTATAAGCACGACAAAAAGTACCATGTGTGTCACGGGAGTACCTATCCCATGCGCTCCAGCCGTGCTGAGCGCTCACATGGCGTAGAGCGCGCTTCGGACACTTTCCCATCCTAACCGCCGTCTTAAAAGAGGCCAATAGGCAGAGACGACCAAACCCACCGCCAGATAAGGTGAGGATGAGTTTTGAGGGTGGTTCTGTCAGTCCACGGCTGCTGCCGCTGCTTTGGAGTCAACACACCACAACGACATCGTGTTCTAACCCTGTGCTCGCGCGCGCGGGGCTACAGCAGCAGTGTATAGCTCTCCTAAACATCGTTTCTGTTTTGATGTCCAACTTGTGAATCCGGGTTTTCGATCTCCCACGGATGCTACTCTGTAGCGCACCCTCTAGAGCATAGAATATTGTCCGCGCACCGCCTGTATGCATCCTCATCAACAAGGTTTTCAGGCCGGCATCCCCATACCCCGGGAAACCAAGCCCTCGAGGGCGAATGAAACCCCTGCTGCAGCGCTTGCAAATTTCGAGAAATTCCACCCAACACTACTGACTACTTCAGAATGCTTGCGAGCCACACTTACTGCTGCTGACCTCCGGGTGGGCACAGCAACGCGCAGCCGACCGTGCATCTAAATCATGCAAGTAACTAGCACTTTCCGGGGGAGTCAGTCGCCCCGATCGTCTACGGGAGACGGTTTCCTCGACAATCTTCCCATGACTGGGAGATTGGTTCAAAAAATCGAACCGGCCATGACGCTCCTTGTCGTCTTGTGTCACCAACGGCGGTAGCTAAATAGGGGGTTGAGACCATACAAGAGGAGATATACCGTTGCCCTCCCTCTCCGTTGGAGATGCTCCCACCACCCAGCGGCATGCTTTTCGGCCATGGCACGTGTTTAGCGTCCTCTGTCTTCAAACCCATCCCAATCACGCGTGCAGTTGGCTAATCGAGTTCCTAGCATTTCATATTCCCATGGATGTTCCCACATAGAACGAACACGGACGACTATGCTACTACGGTGCACGACTCCGTGTCAAGAGCTGCCAGGGAGTTTTATCACAGCAGCACTAGCTCCACACCCCGGCTTCAGTCCCCCACGTCCCGTTGGCCCGCCACCAACTTTGTTGCGTTGTGTATTCACGTACAAATCTTCAAAGCTCCATGCGGACACTATTAGCTCTGCGACGCTAATGCCGAGGTGGGCCAATATTCGCTGTACCCTTCTTTTCCTGCTTTGCTTTGCTAGACAGCAGTATTGTAGTCGTATCGGGTTTGGGGGTTTTCCGCGTCCATTTGTTATATCCGTTTTTGGGGGTTTTCCGCGTCCATTTGTTATATCCGTTGTTGATAGAAGCTTGTAGATAGATCACCACTTTTCGGGCAGTTGGCCCTTGACCACGGAAGTCCGCTGGACCGGTACGGTATCAGACGGTTTAGAGCAAGCCCGGAACTTAGAGAACGTGAAGACAAGATTAACGGGATTAAAACTGTTCTGAGATGGCTCTATTAAATACTAATCAAATATAAAAAAGGAAAGCAACTTTCCCGCCGTTTAGGTTCTATGTGGAGGATACCATGAAGAGGCGTCCTATGTGCTGGCACGCTGGCACGTGCAGGTTTGCTACTGGAGCTGAAATACTGAAGGTCGCAGCAGCCTCTGAAAACAGCCCGATATCTGCGCTAGAACTTGCCGGAACCACACACGTTTCACAGCCATGCTCACCGCCATGGACCTAAACTCCTGAACGGAGGGTCGTCAGCAGTAGCTAATCAGCTAAGTCAACCCGCAGTTCCGGAGATTAGGGTCAGTGGCTGCGACCACAAGCACTACAAGACATACGGTGTCGGTCAAATTGCGGAGATTTGCGGAGACTGCTGTAGTATCCCCCAAGAAGCAGATTTGAGCACGCTAAGACTCACACCCCACTGCTAGAAGTAGGGTGTCCTCTAGTGATATCAGAAATTTCATGAAGAGAACCTACATAGTGTTCAAAAACCGATCCTGTTTGAGCGACTGCCGTTTTGGCTCTTTTGATTTGAAAATGACTAGTTCATTTCAAAGGACGCGTGAGGTAGACGCGTGAAATGTTAATATTTGTTTAGAGCTACCTCTACCGCCGCCCTGTGCGAGAATCAACGATTTCTGTTTTTCGCGATGTCTTCTGGTCTTGTGTGCCTCTTGTGCATTTTCTGGTGCTCTTGCGTTTGTTTTAAAAACTGTACAAAAGTCAACATCGAAATTCTTTGTCTGCCATCTCTTTCGTGACTTGGAACAAAAAACCCGTATCCAGCCGGTTTTCTTTCTACTCAGAGACCCATGTTTATGGTGTCCAAATCTTTATTTTCCTTTCTTTGGCCAAATGCTGACTTTTTCGACCTTTTGGGCAGTCTGCCTCCCGAACGAATGCGAATCAGCAGTTGAGAATAGTCACAGCTTTGCCTGAGATGTATACAGGCCGCCTATTTGTTTCGTCAGGGTCCACGATAGTCCTTCTTCCCCTCGCTGCCTCGGCAAGGTTTTGCTTAGGCATGACCCAAAGCGAGGGGGGGGGTCTTTCTAGCGAGCAGGGCTAGACTCACCCTCAAGGGACCGATACCTTCTTGCTACGGCGCACCCGCCGCGAGGCGTGCGTAGTGGTGGAGTTGGGTCGGCACTGGTGCGTCAGGTACAAAGAAAGGTGCAGATGCGCGGGCCTCGAGGCCGTCGGTGCAGGCAGCAATGCCCATCTCATCTTTGTGCGCGGAGGCAGACGCCACCAGAAAGGTGGACGGGCACTATGTACACGGCCCTATGCTTGCTAGAGGGAGTTGTGTACTGTCTCAGTAACCTGGCTTCGCCATCAAAGGGGAGGAGGGAACAGGTGGTGACGAGCTGAGTGGGCTGGTTGACCCTTAGGCGCGAGAATTTTCAGACCAAGAACCCTAAGTGCAACGAGGGAGAAAGCGAGGAACCGACTGGGAAGGACAGCAACGAGAGCGAGTACGAAGCGGGGCGGGTCGAGTTTGGTCGTGCTAGGACTGGCCACAGCGACACCGGAGAAGCGGCACCGGAGCAGCGGCACCGGAGCAGCAGCAGCGGAACCGGAGCATGCGGACGGCATCGAACCGTGTCGCACGGATAAACATCTCTTGTGTTGTCAATTATTTTCCGTTTTTTTTTCCTGAATGTAGGTGTTAGGTGTGTGTAATGACGTCACTGGTTTTGTAGAGAGACGCGGCAGAGATGGTGCGGATACCCCGGGTGCCTTAATTGTGTACCTGCATAGTGGAAGACCCCTTCAATGTGGAACGATTCCTAGTCAGTGTCGATATTTACACTGCTGTGTCTAACACAGATGATCTGGATAGATTCGGGCGATTGTCAATTGCAATGATGGCTTTGATTGGTTGTTCTTCTTCATTGTATGTCCACGGGCCCATTCTGACAGCACTTCAGACAGCAGCTGCATGCCCCGAGCTTGTTGTGCACGATGCACCATGGTGTTATTTTTGTACAGACAGCACTTCAGACAGCAGACGCTGTAATCGACAAACATTCATTTTGGTGAAGTGCGAAGTGGGGGACAAGGGGGGTGATGCCGCCTGCTGTAGTCGAATTGTAGTGTGTGGGCGTGTAGTTCAGTTGTGAGCACGCAAACGTGCTGCAGGGATTGATTGTAGGTGTACCTCGTCGGGCTTGTGTACCCCTTTTCTTGCTAATAGTGTGCGTGTTCTTTAGATCTTCGGATGGCTTTAGCATTTTTGTGACCACGGGCCGAGTCTTTGCTAGATTTTGGGATTAGCAACTGACACGAGTTTAATGTGAAGAAAACAACAACAGCAACAACGTTTGATTTTTTTCCAGCAGAGCAAGATGTGCACCATTCGGCCGAAAGACCACCTCGGAGCAAATCTTGGGCCAAGATCTGTCCAAAAGCTGGTGTTGGAAAAATCTTGCGTGAAAATTGCGCATCTTGCAAAAATCAAACGTGGGCCCTGGCGAAACATTTAGGCGATCTGTAGATATCTCAGGCAAAGCTGTGACTATTCTCAAAGGTCGAACAGCTGATTCGCATTCGTTCGGGAGGCGGACTGCCCAAAAGGTCGAAAAAGTCATCATTTTCCAAAGAAAGGAAGATGAAGATTTGGAAACCATAAACATGGGCCTCACTGCTGTAAAGGCTTGAACACATCCCTTTCGACCGTGGTATCTCGAACGGGTGGTCTTTCTGTGAGATTACTACAATGCAATATGTATTTCGAAGTATATAGTATGATACATTGCACACATACTACGTTCTAAAAATCTGCTGTTGCAGTAATCCTATTTTTCGCCTGGCGAAGAACCTCCTCTATGATAGGGCCTGCACGTGACAAGCTGCACCTGATTTTGATGCGTGCTTGCACTCAACGGACGGGAACTCCAAGAAGGGTACGGAAGAAGAGGCATGGGATACTACCGGAGGGCAGGCATCACAACGAACGGTTCCCAAGACAGCAACGAAGCTCGTACGGAAAACAGAAAGCAACACTTACGTACAAAACCTGGCTGCTCAACGGAAATAAATGTGTCTCAAACCTCTACAACTCAATGTTGAACAAGGGCGGCGAGCACTGCCGAGGAGAAGGCATACAGACAGGCATGATTGTTCAACGCGCAGAGACTGCCTGCCCGCCGCACAGGCGCGGAGGGGGGCGGGCAAGCCGTGAACGGGCGCGGTTGAGGAAAGCAAACATGCGTCGAGACATCTAACCCGGCAAGAGCACCGCAGAACGGCCGTCGTAGGACCGCGATCGCTACAATATCCGGGCATTTTTTTTTTTTTTTGTCTTCACTTCATATCAGCGCTCACAGCACTAGTGCCGTCTACTCCAACCCGTGGTCACACAGAAGAGCCCCTCTCTACCCTCCCCTCCTGCGGTGCTTTGCCTTCGATTTTTAATGCGAGAAGAGTTCAGCACTCTCTTCCCTCTGTGTACACACGAACTAGCGCTATCCACTATCCGGGCATTTAACGGTGGCTTGGCAAGAGGGCGTGCATGCATATGTACTTCTAATTACTGCTGTGTGCTTGTTGTTGCGGTTGATCGATCGCCTGAGCCACAACACGCGTGCTTGATTGAGCTGAGAGCTGCGCCCTGCTGCTATTGCGCGCTCTGTAGGAAGGGGTGTGTCTGCGGGCGTGCGCGGAACTTTCTTGTCGTTTTCGTGAGAGGAGCGGGGGTTATACATAGGGGCAATATTGCCGGTCGCCCCGGTGGTCTAGTTAGTAGCCTCGTAACATTCTAGAGGTCAGGTCAGTGGTTCGAATCCCGGCGTAGGCGAGCTTTTCTTGCAAAGTGAGTTTTTCTCTCGCTTCCGCTCCTGGCCAAGTGGATAGCGCTAGTTCGTGTGTACACAGAGGGAAGAGAGTGCTGAACTCTTCTCGCATTAGAAATTGAAGGCGAAGTACCGCAGGAGGGGAGGGTAGAGAGAGGCTCTTCTGTGTGACCACGGGTTGGAATAAACGGCACTATAATAGTGCTGTGAGCGCTGATTTGAAGTGAAGAACAAAAAAAAAAAAAATAGGGGCAAACAAAAGAGAAGACTTTTTCCTGGGGGATCAACATACACCAGTACATCGGAGGCCGAAGAGACGAATTTGGTGGGAAACAACTGACTGAAATCGACGGCATCTCTCCCCCACGTTCGTGGTAAGGGGGCACACCCCCGGAATCGTTTCGAGTCGATCTGTCTTCTAAGCCGCAGGGTGCATCAGTGCTACTGCTGTAGCGGTTTTCGTGTGTCTACTGTCTACATATCTTGCATCTGGTCGTATATGTGATCGATCGGAGACCGGATGGTGCGGCAATAAAAAAAAAACGGGTCTTCTAATGTGATGATTGACTGATTGTGCAACAGGGAGAGAGAAGGTTTTCACCCCCGTCCCGAACAAGGCACGCTTGAGCTTCTCCGTTCTCGAAAGAACGACCTCAAGAAAAGGTTCACCCTGGCTAGCCGATGCCCAGGACGTGTGTGTTACTCGGAGGAGAGAACGGGTAAACGAGGGCAACTAACGTTCTCTCCCCTTCCTCTGCTGTTTGCGTTCTGTAGCCAGGCGCGTTTCTCACATACCTGAATCTTTCGCAGCTTCGAGAGAAGCAGGTCCACCTCTCTGTCAGTCGAGGGCGCCATCTCTCCCCGGTCCCCTTGCTCCCCTTCCCTTCCCTTCCAAGTCTTTCCCGCTTTCTCAGCTGATGGTCTCGTCGTGCTGCCGTGCGGTGCACACTCCCCGACTAGGGGGGTTCACGGCTATGACGGCAGCGGAGGGGGGGGGGGATTCCAGGGGCAGTGAGCCCATTTCCACAAGGAGGCGTGTGTATGGATCCACCTGCCGTCCTGGATCTTTTCACATACACCGACACCCACGACCGTGAGCGGTATCATTCTACACCCGGTGTCATGGGGGACGAACAAGAGGACGGTAGAATACAGGAGGATGCCAAGGAAGACAGTGAGGCGGAGGTAGAGCCGGAGCGATTGCAGTACAAGGTAAGGGGTTTCGCGTGGAGTCGTCGAAGACACACGAACAAAAGATGCACGCCCTTGAGGGCCGCTTCAAGCGGCAGACTCGTCTTGTACTTCGTCGTACTGTAGCAGCAGGGACAAGAGCTATGTCCCAGTTGTACATGGGGTGTACCAGTAGCTGTGCAAACTTCATGTCTCATAGGTGGAGTCTGAACTCTGAAGACACTGTGATACTACGGCAGGGATTTCCGTCCGCAACAGCCTACTCTGTGGCCCTGGCCCACCGTGATGAGCAATCAATTGTGTTAGCTTCCTCTCCCTGGCATAGACAAAATAAAAGCTTAGCTCCATGAATCAAGGGATGAAATCAACATTCGACATATCGCAGATGCTCACTTCTTGCGAGAGGAAGTACCTTCGTGACAGAGCAGGGTGTCTATACTTTTTACGGCTGTGTGCTTACAGTGCAGTCCAGTGCAACCTTCTCCGCATTCAACATGCCAAGAAATGTACCATCACTCTTACTTGTAATTGGGTCATATACTACAAGACTGCAGCAAGCGGCCGCTGCGATAGTTGTTGCGATAAGGACAAAGGAAAGAATGCGTCGTTCCAGTCTACCACTCTACGGCACTCCAGCTGTATATTGCTGTGACACCGATCGGAGCTCTGAATGGACAGCGCGTTTCACAGCGAACAGGGAGCCAAGGAAAAACTGCGAGTAGTCACCCCTTCGTACGTCATCAGTATCACGTGGTCAACGCGAACATGTTTTCGGCGGTGTTTTTTGTTGGCGGAACCGAACGATCCCAAGGTTATCCTCCTGGGAGACGGCACCGTGGGCAAGACGTCGATCGCTACGAGGTTCGCACAGGGTGACTTCTCCCAGATGTACAAGCAGACAATCGGCTTGGACTTCTTTGTGAAGAGAATTCTTTTGCCAGGTGGGAGGCTTGAACCTACTCTGAACACTCTTTGTGCTACGTATGTTGCGTGTTCCTGCCCGGAAATATTGCGTGCTCCTGCCCGGAAAATAATATCAGGTGTGTCTGCATTTACGTGTGCTAGCCGCTACTACAGCAGAAACTTAAATGTTTTCAGTGGTCGTGCCGGGAAGGAACCAAGTTTAAGTTTACACCTACCAAGCCCATCATTGAAACTGGCAACAGCGTTGATGTTGGTGGAGAGACAAAATGTGTTGCTGGATTTCGTGAACGGGCACGCATCTTCCAGGTTTTCGTGAGTTCGCTTTTATGCTTCTCCATGATTCACCACGCTACGCGATGCTTCGGCCGAGCTTCCACCTAGAGTTTCCTCCCCCGTCTGAATTGCCCAACCCGAACTTAACCCAACCGATGGTGGGAACCTTGAGATGCCGTATCACTTTACGGGAGGACAAATTCTGTAGTACCGTCCTCTTTCATGGAGTTGTTCGTTCGGATAATCAAAACTCGGTAGCCCGCGGGGGTGTATCGTATTCACACACGGTAGTTGTGGTAGCAACCCCGTCTCCCCCCGCGGATGAATCTGATGTAGCCCCCCTCCCCTCCCTACTACAATTGTTCCAGAAGGGGGATCATTCTTGTGTGCTTCGATGATAAAACCTCAGCCCACACGACTCAACAGTTTGCTTTTTCCTCTCGTCATTGCGAAGGTGATGTTCAGGTGACCATGCAAATATGGGACATCGGAGGGCAGAGCATCGGGAGCAAAATGATGTCCAAGTACATTTTTGGGGCACATGTGAGATCAAGGGGATGAGTTTCATCGTATGCTAAATAGAATCCCGGTGGAACAACTGGAACTATATTTTCTGTTTTGTGCGAAAGCCTATCACACAAAGCATTACCCCCACGTGTGCTCAACCATCGACTCTCTAGGGTAGTGCACGGATGACTGCCCAACTCACAAACCCATGTTCCGCTCTACCGATACATACGACGACGCGACATGGGTTCCCCACCGTGCCCCGCCCTTTCAGGCAGTGATAATGTGCTACGACATCACCAATTACGACAGCTTCCAAGACCTGGATGATTGGTACCGGCTGGTTGTCAAAACCTTCGAGAAAGGGGTGATGCCGTACGTGGCAATGGTTGGAAACAAATGTGAGCCTTGAAAGGGGGCTACTCAACAAGCTGCATTGACTTCTATGGTACAATAGTAGATCAAACATGGATCGACATGGTTGCCATGGTCAGTTGACAAGTTGGTTGGTGACGTTTTTCGGTTCTGCCTGCGATGAAAGGCCTATCAGTCGCGAACCACTTCCCTTCCTGGAGTTTCGTTCTCGTGCTCAAGCCGTTTGATTGATCTATTGCCGCGCTCAACGATGAGGTCGATCAACCATTCGGTCGATGGTAAACTGTTGGAAAGGTGGGACTATCTGAAGGGAATTGCTCTGGCCTTCTCCGCCCCTTCGACGACAAGAATATTTCCTCTTGCTCTCGCGTTTTCTTCGCTAGCGCAGTTTCTGATCTCCCAGCTAAACTCAAAACCATGTTTCCGTTAACCGTGTAACTGAGCACCACCAAACGTATTTGTCTGCACCACCGTCGGATGGACGACTGCCTGCCGTGGACACTGAAGGCGACCTGAGTCACATGCGAGCTGTGAGGACGACAAGCGCTCATCAGTTCGCCGACGACAACAACATGTACACCTTCTTCATGTCGGCTAAGTCAGGGGATCAGGTGCAGACGAACAAACGTGTTACGCCATCACACATCAATCGAAAACTTGTTTCAGTCCCTTCGTCATTCTCGCATGTTTCCCTCGCTGGCTCGACGTCTATGCGTAGCTCTATCGAGCTAGACCAACCCATCGGTCTGCGCCTGTTTCTTACTTTGTGTCAGATGCCGACTACTTCAAACGTGTCGCGATGTTGTGCTCCAACCCGACATGGATTAACGAGACCGTGCGTTTCCTATCCACTACAGGTAGACGCGTGCTTTCACCGAATAGCGGGCCATCTGTCAGGAATCGCTCTATCCAGACCACAGCTTGACGCAGCTGGAGGAGTGCTAAGCGCGAGCATCGTCAACTACAGGCGCCACGACGAAGAAGTGCACGGTGGCGAACTACCCGATTACACCTCTCGACGTCCCAAGACTTGCACACTGTCGTGAAGCACAAAACAGTCTAGATTGTGAATTCGTATGCATGCATGCAGCTTCCGCTTAGAGTCGGCTGAAAGAGGGGGTGGCGAGGAGGGGAAGACCGTGGGTGATGGGATGTGCCCAAGTAATAATATCTTGTTGATTGTTCGCGATGCACCGGAGCGTGGATGGCGACTGCTCGAGCTTGATTAATTACCTTACCCACGAATGCAGTCACCTGGCGTTTCCCTACCGGCCCAAGAAGACACGGTACGAAATAGCGGTGTGCTTTCTCGGGTATGCTCCTCCATAATCCTGTTCCAGGCGATTCGATTCGGCCCAACATTTTTATGTCCGCAGCTGTGTCCAGGTGCTCTTGTGCGCACAAGACAGGCCAAATACCATACAGCTATAAACTTCAAAGGCAACCAATCCTTACGGACGATATATTGAAACCTCCTCTCTCATTGTTAGTCCTTGTGAAACAAACGGGGCCAACGCTTCAACGTTCGACGGACGCTGGTGGTTTACACGCGGGCGAAACCCGCACGCAACCACACCCCGTCTATCGGAAATTGAGACGTCCAAAAATAGAACATGTACTGTGTAGTGAGAGCCTCAACGTCGAGTGGGACGCCTCGACAGCAGTACCGGCCACCACTTACGGACTTGGCAGCCACATTTTTGGACTTGGCAGCCACATTTGTTGGCAAAATCTCTCAAGTTAACTGCTCACAAGCATCTGTGGCGCGTTCTTGTTGCGTGGCGTGAAATGAACAAAATCAATCAATTTCACTTTACATTTGCCCAGAGGATGTTAGACCTCAGCTGCGCTCGATTTATTGTTTCCTGATGAGCACATACCCTGCGATTGTTATATCATCGGGTCTCCACACACTGCGTTGTGCTTGTGGGACCCGTGGCGATGCATGGAATCATGGACACGGATCCAACGCATGGGGCCCCGCAAACGACAACTCGAGGTACCCGGATTGTCCCGCGGCGGTTTTCGCCGGAGCCGCTCTCGGCTTCGTTGCGGTCTGTGCTGTCACAACGTCACAACACACCACGTATGAGAGGATGAGAGGGAGCATGCATGACATGGACAGGCTGCTGAAGGCTCTCGCGCTGAGCGTCCTTGTGCTGGGGTCCGTCCGTCCGAGCTCTGCGTTCTTTCTACCTCCGTCCGGAGGAGATCTCCGAAGGTCTCCTCCCGCTGCTGTTGCACGACGACAGCATGATCAGCAGCAGTGCGTTCTCCGGCGTCACCGCAGGCAGCGTAGTAGCCAACAAGGTTCGCAGCAGAGCCGGTCGGTTCGTTCGCGACCTCACTTCTCTTCGTCCGCGGCACCTGCTGACGCCGCTCGTGACGAGGAGCCCTGGAAGGAAGACCTGGAGGCAGCAGCAGCGGAAGCACCTTTTTTCCCACCGCCGTATTATGGCAGTCAGCAGCAGCAGCAGCAGCAGCAGCAGTACCCAACTGCAACTTCGTCTGCTGCGGGTCGAATTGTAGGGCAGACCAGAGATGCCTTCATATTCGCCCCGAAGCCGCTGCGGGAAGGAAGAGTGCTGCGAGCGATGAAGCGGGCGGACGTCGATGGAGTCGTTAGCCTGTGAGTAGTGTGGCGTGACGAAAAACTACATGTACTGCTGTACATACAGCAGACCGTGTGTAAACGCACATTCGTGGTACAGCAGTACATACTTCTACATTGTAGAAAGCACTTCGGACATGCTGCAGGCAGCGAGACATCCTATTCCTTCGACATGTAGCAGAGGACCGCAGCCTGCATGTAGCTTTGTGGATTTTGGCGCCCATGGCTAGCATTTTGTACGTGTTAATGAAGCTTGACCTGCCCACGCGAAGCAATCCTCACACATCGGAGCGGCACGTTGCAGCAGTTGAGCGGTTTTTGTCAACAAAGGGTCTTCGTTCTGTCCCGATAGTTACATACCTCCTGGAAGCCTGCCCGCGATGTCGAAAACGCCTTTGAACGTGCGTGCCACAGACTTGGGGGACTACGCGGAGGTATCGGTTCACGGTTTAAACTGTGCCGAGATGCCGTCAAACCGTTAGAACGCCACCGATGCTGCCGTTTCGTCTATTTCGTCCCGTGGTTCCTTCTTTCTCGTCACCGATCTCTGCCTTTATCGATGTCGGCATCGGTATGCTCAACGTGTGCTCGCTTCCAGAGCATTCGAGGAGTACTACAACGGACCCATGGATTTTTCCGCCGGCATCCGGGGAGGCTTTGCAGTGTTGGAGTCGGCGTGGCGAAGCGCACTGCGGAACGGGAAGTTCCAAGAGGCGGACAAGGAACGGCTGACCGACTGGTACGCACCGTGATAGAGGGCACTGCTAACGGCTGACCGACTGGAACATACCGTGGTAGATTAGAGGGCACTGCTTGCTAACCTGCTGTGTACCCCAACAACTACGAAGTATTCGACGGGGAGACGTAGCGCTCTCTGTCTCCCTTTGCTTGTCCCTGTAAGTCTCTCTCTCTCTCTTCCTCTGCTTATCCCCGTCACTCTCCATCTAAAGTTCTAGAACTTTCTCGTTGGCTTTGGTGCTCCGTGCACAGGAGCAGGGGGCGCTGCTGTTGTGCGAAGAAACGATATTGTACGTTCTGAGTGCCGCTCTTTGTGCACGGGCCCGAAGCTCGGAGCCCCACGACTTGAAAACGGATGTATGACCGCGCTACCGTTTACTGTCCTCATGGGAGGGAGCAGCTGCCGTCGAGCTTGCCGCCAACCGAATGTCCAGTTCCAACCAGTTACTCTATCTTAGACTCTTTTCCTAGATAGAGATGGATTCGTTGGGTCATATGTAGAAAAAAAGAAAAGTGTATCAAATATGTTCCGTCGAGCCCAGGTCAGACATTGGCCTCTGAACCTTCCAGAAGTAAGCGGTTGGGAATCGATGGCAGGGGTAACGGGCAATCTCTACGAGTCTCCTCCTGAGAAGCTGGGGGGCGGTACCTCCAATAGTGCGCCTCTGATGAGAACCAGGAGAGGGGGGGGGGGCACCGTAGGCTGCATTGATCGTACCTCAAGGAATTAAGATGACGTTAGGCCACGAATCCCCGCTCGTGCTGCCCTTTCAAGGCCATCATCCCCGCCTTCCACGCCACCTCCAAGGTTGTCTCAGGCCCCCGCCAGGGGTCGAAGAAGCGACCAAGGGGCCGAGGAAATATATTTGCCATATGCAAACGTACGCGAAAATGGTCAAAAAGCCACCCCCGGAGCTTTTGAAATGCGATCCCCTTTTTCATCTCCATCACCCCGTCCCTTTTGTGCGTACTCCTCCCTCCCTCACCCACTACTCCCCGGGGGGGACTGTTCATCAGGTTGGAGATGATTTGGCTGCGAATCATGATACAGTGGGGGTTCAGCATGCGCGAACAGTTCGGGAAGGGTGGGCGCGATCACAGGTGTGCATATCTTCGCTCTTCTCTGTACTTGATGTTCTTGACTGTTTTGATGCTATTATAGCACGTGCCAGCAAGAGCCGCTAACACTACAGTCACATTAAGGTTCAACCAGACGGGGCATTTATTGGTCTGGTCTCAGGTGACCTCGCTCTAATGTAGGATGTAGCGTGCGTGGTATGATGAATCGACAGGCGGGAGTCAGCAGCACACGTGGTTGGGCATCAATCCACCTTCAACCTGCGTTGTCTTTAGTTACAGCATCGATGGACTGTGTTGGGTACTGAAGGAGTGCACGCCACAGATCGAGGTGGTACGCTCCGGCCCCCGCTCCTTGCCTTGTGGCCGCCCAATTTAGGTACGGGGTTGTGCCATCGCGATGACATGTGACTGCCTCTTCGTCGGCCGCACTGACAAGCGTTTCGTGTACCCTAAAACCGCCACCAACGGTAGTTATACAATAGGTGGCACCTTAGTTTCGGTGTCGCCACTAGCACCCACGCGCCGTTGGCCACGCCAACTCGTGCGGACGGACATGTCAAGGGTTATATCATAGACTATCGTCTGTGTAGACCACAGAAATCGTTTCTTGGTATATACCCGTTAGTTTAGGACGGGACGAGAACAAGTTACTAACGTGTGTTGTTGGGGATGGAGAGACACCAACAGCGAAACCAGCGATAACATAACCAGTGATACCCTTGAAAAGAGACGTCCAGACTTCTAACTCTCTCTCCGTCTGGCTTTGAGCTTTTTGCCGATAATTTGTTTCATGAAAGACTACGATGGCTTTTCGGAAAGTCACGAGAAGACACAAACATGACGTTTCAATTTTGTCTTCCACCACTCCCCGCCCGCCCCGTTGTTTTGGTCGTTCTACCAAAGGGTGTTCTGTATCTCCGACGAGAAGGCGAGGAATTTAGGAGGGGACGGGGAAGGCGGCTCCTCCAAGCCCCCCCTTGCCGCCCTGGCCGAGATCAGCCTGCAAGTGCCGAACGGAAAGACCTCCCCGCCTTTCCCGGTCCCATTGTGGTACAAGAGGGTGAGTGAGTGAGTGAGTGCCCCCCGCGGGTCTTACCACGACTTCTGTCAGCCTGCGTGTGTTTGCCCCCCCCCACCCCCCCCCCCCCCC